TACTCGTTGCTTTTTCCCCGTAATTAAAAGCAATACCTATTTACTTACATTCCAATCAATTGTACTTAATGATCGCAGTTTAACATTTAGTTCATCATAAAACAATAATTTCATTATTTTACACATGATTGCTTAGGCAATTAGTTAGCTAACAGACAGCATTAGACAAACTTACCTCTACCTATATATATATATATATATAATTCGTAGCTATGCGCTACGTCGCTACGGCTGAAAACTCGACGTTCAGTGAAAAACGGTTTCGTGTAAATCATGATACGTCACGCTTACACCGCGGGGTGGGGTAGGCAGATGATGATAATTTAGGTGGCCTTTCATTCCGCCGCCTGTCATTTGGTGTGGATTACGTAGCTCAAGTATGTAGAGTCGTATGTAGAGTGGCAACTCTCTGCCGGTCTCTTTGTTTTTTGGCAGACGTAGACTTTACATTATATCGATCAAAGCAAGATTGAAATACTTCGGAGTGTTTGAAATTCTATTTATCTTCAAATAACATGATTGGATGAAGTAGTTTATTGGTGGCAGGAATGTGTAGAAGAGATTATCAAAATAATTCCCATGTACAAAGAAAGTTCGTGTTCGTTACTTAATTACACAGAAATCACTGAACGGATTCAGATGAAGTTTGGCATCCACATAGATTGCGACCTGGATTACCACACAACATTCCGTACATTACTTTCGAGTAGTTGAAAGCGAGGGAAGTAGTTTGAAATTGAAATGGTACTACTGTAAAAGTTTTTGTAATGCACACAATACTTGTATCCAGGTAACATTTAATGCTAGTACTATGTACTTTAACACAATGTTGTAAAGTTTCGACAATCACTTCCTTTTACAACAAAAACAACGGTTACTGTTCAATACGTATATATATACAACTATATATACTATATATATACAACATTCCTGCTAGTACCAGTTCTCTTGTATTCACAACATCACTGAAGTTTCGTCTTTCATTAAAACGTCCGAAGCTTAATTCTTCATTAGAAATAGAAAATTTTTCTTCTATTTTTCTTTTCTAGAATTTTCCTCTGTGATCGCGTGTAGTTAATTCTTAATGATTTTATAGCTAAAATGTCTAAATACGTTTTGTTTGTTTGTTATTCTCTTACATCTAAACGGCTAAACCAATTTTCATAAGATCAATGGATGGGTATGACTTCCGCGTGTAAAAGAAGTAATTAACACCAGCTAATATTTAAACAGTTATTAGTAAACAACTAAAATAAGAGTCGTTACCGATTGCAAACGTATTTTGGACTTGCTTTATTGGTGCAAAAAATTTGAAGCACAATAGCCCTCGAATCCCTTCTACAATGGATATTACGGTACTATCCACCCCGAAGAACAAAAGAAGCGTGGTTATTTTCTTAAAAAGAAACACCATGGAGTACAACGTCCTATAGTCAGAAAATAAAATCTACTATTGCACATGAGTGCACAGTAGGCAACGAAGCCAATGACTTATATCAATTGCTTTGTTAGGATAATAACCTTAATAACGCCACGGCTATAAAGCTCAAGTTACCTTGAGTCATCATGTATTTTGCAAAACAATGTTTTTGCATAGAAAGAATTTCTTTTCGATCAATTTGTGCTGTATATGTAGGTATTATATTGATGTATCTGTCAATTTGTTTACAATTTGTAGTTGCTATACTTATTACGTAATCGATTTTGTTTTTGTTTTTCTACTATTTATAAGTTAATAGTTTCTTTATTATATTTCTTTTATTCATTGTATTTGAACATCCTTTTAGGGACGATTTATTCAACTGATTAGTTTTATTAGTATTCTTTTACGTAAGAGATATCAGAGATTAAAAACAAATCATCAAACCATAATATATTAATGAATTTATTTTAAAGGCATATAAACGAACTAAAATAATGGCATCTAGTTAATGTTTCCACCTTAAGAACTACGAACAGTCCTCCTATCTTTGCCAACAAATCCAACAATACCATATCGAAAGAAACACTGATATGGCGTCACAACACTCTCGTCTTGTTGTGATAAAGCGACTTAACACCGGCAAAAATGTATACAGTACCTAAGTGTGACGTGTGTTCAACGTGAAATTTTTCACCTTTTCCTCGAGAATCAAAAGTTTTTACGATTCGTCTTTGTCACTGCATACTTCGAATTTCGAATCGTAGATTCGTAACAGTACGGTCTGATCCGCAAACGTCAGTCAATTACCGCATCCCGCTGGCCTTGAAAGAAACTTTCAAGATGAGTGACCGCGGTACCAAGTTTAATGTAGTTTGAGAATTCGGGAGTAACCGATATACCTAATATTGAATGAGCATGAGTTACGGCACGCAATCCCAATGACTCAATCGATATAATTGGAAGGTGCGAGATAAAAAATACCGTTCGTGAACTATCAACGAAAGGAAAAGCGTCCTCGATAACATTAAATGACTTGTCTCGGGAATCGAACTCAAACGAGAGTGAAAGGAACGAGGTGGTATTAACATAACGTTTATTATATTACACGTTTATAGGGAACTGGCCCATATTCACGTGCTTTAATATTCATTCGTTTTATCTCCATGTCGATCTTCTTTTTTTGGTTCGCTGGCAACAAGTGTGTTTTGGACGATATGAGTTTGATTCGATAACAATGTTTGTCAACTATGTAATTAGAAGTTTCATCCAATCTATTCGCTCAAACCACTATCTCCGACGCCCAACATTCGTGTTGAAAGGTAATTAGGTACTTCGCCCACCTAGTTTGAGTCGAAGCAGTGTTAATCAGTAAATGAGTGTTCGTATGAACCGTTGGCTGCAGTGTATTCAGCATGGTACTTAACGGACGGTGCTATTTTTATGTTCATTGTGACAAATAATAAACAGTCGGGCGTCACCCGGGCGGCATCGGCATCGGGCGCGGCGTGCGTGCGAACGTTGCGTGCGTGCCTACATCGCATAGGTAGGTAGACGTCGACGGCCGTGGTAAAGTCGACATCCCTGCATCCCTGCGCCGGCTGTGCCGCTCTATAAATACACAGCAGGTGTGGTGAGCGAGGGGCGTGCGGCGCGCGGGCCGGGGGCATCCGCCTCTGCAGCGCTCCAAACCGCTCGCAGCGGCCATCGGACCTTAGCGACGGCATATCGATTGCGAGGGCTCCCCCTGCGGCGCGCCGCCTCCATTGTGCTCGGCCTGGGATGCCTTCTCCGGCCGTTTCCTGCCTCGGCCCTGTCACTTGTCTGCGACGGGTCTGCCCCGCGCCCCCCGCGCTTCCTGTCGACCAGCACTCCTGCCTGTGACACACGAGAGCTGCTCGAGGCTCTCGACGACACGCCGAGCCCGGCCTTGCATGTATAGCCAACAGGATAGCGTTCATTACCGTAAAGTTCAATGGTATCGGCCACATTTTCACTGCGCAAGTTAGTCATCGGCCACGCTAGCCTGTTTGTTACTTATAAATAAACCACAATACAATGTAATCGTTACCTTTGCTTGTGTTGGTTACATATCCAATAGGTACCTGCTTAGTCGAAGAGAACATCCGTAGACAATATATAATAAGTATACCTAGTTGTCCATTCATATTGAACGCTGCAATATGTATACAACATACCATTGTTGCTATAACACTGACTAAACGCGATGAGTTCTAGTTCTATCCGTGTCGAGCGCTAATAGAAGCGAAGTATTAAGTTAATTTCATTAATACCTTCGGTTAAAGCAGTCGGCAATTAGCATCGTTTTTTGTCTCCCAAGTAATTTATTATTTTGAACGATCACAGCAGCGTGGTATTTCTTCTTTTGACTGTCGGGGTTCCGTATCAAACGTATATAAATATTTTTAATGTTATAGTCTTCTTGTAGGCAATTTTGATATGATTGCTTTTAGCTATGACTATAGCTATGTGTGAATAATATAACAAACATTTACGGAACCTTCTACAAAATACTAACTTATATAACTTTCCACGTTGGATTTAATTTCATTCGACAATTACAGTGAAAAGTTACCTATTTACTAGTTGTTATAACGATTTAATTAGATAATGGATTAGTATAAGTCGTCCGTCATACACATATTATTGACAAATGAACCGCAAAATTGTGTGAAATCATCGAACTGGCCACTGGAACATTGTCCATGTTTAATATCTAAAAGAAATTAATTGATTACGGAACAAAAAATATTTTCACATCCCATTAATTCAATTGGGTAGTTTCTTAGGTTTAAAATAAATTGTTTCAAGTTTTCAATGCAATAAATAATTAAAAATAATCATACTCTCATCCATTAATTTGACAATTTACTTACTTTTGGATATTTTCTCGCTAATTTTAAGGAAAAAAGTATGCTATTTTACGCAGAAATATTATGATGACGTCATAAGTTGCGATCCAATACAAAACTCAAAGAAAAATATCGTTTTTGACATTTCAATAAAAGTATTGAATTTGACTACCTGTCGACTACCGTATTATTATTGTAATCCTAATGCATAATTGTATGCATTAGGATTACAATAATCGCACTTAAATACGTTTCATTTTCGGATATTCATTAAAGAATCATTAAACATAACCATAATTGCAATTATCTATCGAAATTGTAACGCGTTACTTAACGACCTCATTAGTCGAAAACAGTATCGCTATTAAACACTGCATTTCTGTAAATAACAATTCCAATCGATATTCATCCTTAAATGTAATGTTTTTAAGGATTAGTTTATCAAAGGTTCTTCAAGGAACCCTAAACACGAATAATAAATCAACCAGCGATCACGACTCATTTCTCATACAAATACGCTATATTATAAATACATCATTGAAATGAGACTCATAGGCACGATACCTTGTTACAATTTTTGACAATACCACTATCTTCTTAAATCTCAACCTTAACCATCTGCTACTAAGATCAAAATTACAACAAAATGTCTCGACTCAGATGCTACAGCTGTTGGTATTCTCCTGTACGTACAGCAATGTAGATACATGTATAAAGAGCAGTTCAACGTAGTTTTTACTGTATGCTTCGGAGATAAGGTTTATAATTGTGTTTCGAGGATGTGTCGCATTTTTATCCGTCCTCAGCAGACCACGGTAAGTCAAAAGGAAGGGTTATGGTCTGTTTGTATGGTGTTTGTCGCGCCTGATAAAAGCTGTCCCTTACTTTCATCCCTAATATGCGGCCGAAGCAGGTTTTGAATACATTTGATATCAAACAAATTACTATTTAAGTGCTTTTACAGTTTATTGCACTCATATTTTCTTTTCTGTGCATATAATATGCGTTAACATTACAAATAAATCAATGAAAATAACAGATACTTAAACAGCTACGCAACTTTCACACCACTACACATTTTTTTCAGTATATTTTAATAAACTCAATAATCTACTACTAACTGTATTTTTTCATTGAACACACACCACGATAATATCATCAATTATGTTTACAACCATAACATTTATCTAATGTGCGTTTAATTTACATAAAGTAAGTGTCGAAACGATTAAATTAAACTTTAAACAATAAAAAGTTTCGTATCTTTATAAAAGACATCAACGCTTATGATTTGTTTAAATTACTTCGTTTGTACTTAATTAGTTTTGACAACAACAAGTTGTTTACAATTTCCGCTCATTTACTTACTTGCTAAAGGTTTAGGTTCGTAGTTCCTTTACTAACATTCGTAGTAGGCAGGCACTTCTTATTCACCCCGCATTCAAGTACCCACCTCTGTTGGCGTTTGTAAATCTGCTTACCTGTGCTTCATCATTAGTCTTCCCTTTTGAAAACGTTGCCCTTATTACGTGGTTACAAAGTTCGCACCGGCCGCGGCCGCGCTCGGTATAATGATGATGTCGCATACACCGCAACCTAATACAAAAATGTTGTCGACAACATCCAAGAGCACAAGCTCTCATTAGACCGTTGCCGAGTGGAGGTCGTCCGGCGCGGCGGCTCCCCTTGCCATCGTCGAGGATGAAAAACATAGGAACACGACATCGGGCGACCCTCCGCCCGGCGCCCCGGCCCGCGCCCACGCGCCCTCCGGCCCGGCCGCCAGCCGCCACACCGCGCTTGTCGGCTGCTTGCCTGAGAGCCGGCCGCGGCGGCCGCGGCGCCTCATTCAGCCGGCGACGCTCTCGCGCACCGCACACGTGTCCGCTGCAGCGCGCCGCGCGACACCCGACACCCCTCGCCGCCCCACGCCGCGCCCGCGCGCCCTCCCGGAACGTTTAACCGACAACGAACATTGTTCTGTTGCAGCGGAGTATGCTACAGCAGATGTCCTCGCCGCCGAGCGCACAAGCCGGCGAGGTCGCGACTGTCGTGCGCCACCTTGAAGGCCGCGTCTGTGGCGACGTGTCTTCGGAGGAGGCCTCGGACGCTGCGGATGATTTTGAGTTACCACAGTGCAAGATAAGGAGGAATTACAACTGCACTAAGTGCACGTTCTTTACGCAGAACCCGCGCGCTTATCTCGTGCACACGCGAGACGCTCACTTTGTTAGACTCAAAATATACGATTGTCCGTACTGTATTTACGCCTCGAGACATCATCAAAAGCTTGTAAGACACGTGAAAATGATTCATGGAGTGTCAAAACCGACGTCTTCCTCAACCACTACCAAAGCAGCTGCTGCGTTATCACCACCCTCATATGAAAACATGGAGCAAGCAGAACGCATAGAGGACTTACTCGAAGAAGTCGAGGACTGCGAGGATATGATGATGGAAGTAGATGAAGACTCCATGGACGATAACGACGTCGACGGCAACAGAAGTGTTGATCAAACAGCGCCCTCTGACGGGTTAAAATCTAAAAGCAAATTTTTCTCATGCAATAAGTGTAACTATGTCACCCACATAAGAGCTAGATTCACAAAACACGTCAAGTACCATTCGATGCCTATGATAAAGTGTACAATGTGTGATTTTCGAACACCATACAAGTGGAATTTGGATCGTCACATGAAGAACCACGGTGGTACTGGGAGTTTCCATTGTTCGATGTGCAACTTCACGGCGGACATCAAGCAGAGTCTGACGGTGCACGAAATGAATCATCACACACCGGCAGCGGGCCAATCGCTGTTCAGCCGCCGCCGCAACCGGGTGGGCGCCAGCGACACGGTTACCGCGGAGCTCGACGCAGCGAGCGCGTTGCTCCCCAAGGAGGAAGAAGGGAGCGGCGACTCACGGTCCTCACACTCGGTCTCGGTGAGTCGCCGTCGTATATGTGTGTTGTGTGCGTGGCGAGGGGCCGCGCCCGGCCGCTGCCGCCGCCGCCGCCTCGCCGGTACCACCGGTGACGTCACACCGTTGTCACTCTTATCATGAGCGCCACCGCACATGGATTGCACTCGACATTATATCGCTTCTCGCAACCTTTTGCATCATGTTTACATTCGTGCATGTCTCGTTCACTCTTGCATGTTTTTCCACGCTTGCCAATGTAATATCTAGTCATTCCCACAACCACAGCCACTCTCTATCTCTTAACTAAAAGTAATTGCAATAGCAAAACTTTATAAGCATAAGTCAACGTTCATAACAGAAAGATAAATAACTTGTTTACAAATAATAATCCACTCAAAACTGTAAACATTCAGGCAAATGTCGTACTTACGTAGGAATTACATATGTAGGTATTATATAATTAGGTCCCAGGAGTCACTCGTTCCTATAATGATTTAACACAACACTATCATTTTGACAACTAATAAGGAAGCGTCAATAACCGCAGTTCTGCTTACCACAGCGCTGCTTCCTAACTGTTCGGTACAATCGATTCGAGCATCGAACCCAGACACCGTATGTAGGCCGCGCGTTCTCTCCACTGCACCCTTCGTCAGCTGAATACTTCTTGTCATTATAAATATCACAGATCTGTCGGTGACGATTAGATAAAAATAATTCAACGTCCTGAATCTAAATTATAAGATGTTTTTAAAGCCATTCCACGGTCCCGTAATACACAAAGTGTCTAAATATTTCAACTAAAGCGTGTCGCTTCTACATAGCGATGTTGTTTACGAATCTATTAAAACAGTCTTTATCAAAGTATATACAAATAAAAATTAATGTCAGTATTGCAATTAGGAAATTGAATGTAAAATGAATGCATTTCTTTCGCGTTTCATTCGACTTATGATCGCGTAGGATAATAAAAACATAAGGAAATTCGATAGACTTTTCCGACTGTATAGGACAAAATAATCATTAAATTGTTATTTGTTACTCTTTTACGTAGGATTCGATTCCACTGGTTTTGATACTCATCAGCCTTAGTTCCCAGCATTAAAAAAACCGGACAAAAACAATCTAACATTACGCGTAGTCTATGAACTGTTTCTCTGTAAAAAAATGCGGTAGTCCTTTCTTCCTTCCTCGTCTCGAAAAAGGACAAACATTTTTCCCCGGGATTAACACCCTGTTTTAGCCAAATGACACATAGATCCCTTGAAGTGTAAACTTAACACGAATTATATCACTAATCCTAGTTATAACATTCATAATCCGTAAATTACTAATGGACGAGTCGATTTCAGTGTGCTTAATCTTCGTTGCGGACATAATATCAATTAGTTCTCCACAGATTATACATAGTACAAGTAAATAACTATAGGTTTGTAGAGACTTACTCGCCACAGAGGGTGGGCAATGATGCTTTCAATCTATGTAGTTTACCATAAGTGTATGTACATAACTGTTCATACAGTACTTAGTCCATAGTAACCATTAAATGTACTCCCATAGTAAAGATATCACCACCACTGTACTGAATTCCATTCCCTCTGCTCTTTGATCGAGTCGTTCCAAGTTCTTTGCTAAGTATGAGATCCTTGTCCACTGGAGCCGAACATAGTGTTAGTAATTCCTTAATTCTCAGTTAAAAGTTAAAAACGCGGAGTTTTTCTGATTGTTTTTACGAAATAAGTATTCAAGTCTATTCCGACTCTGTAAGACATTACGTGCCACTTGTTTAAGGTTTCCACATTTCTAGATTAAGAAACCCATTTATTTATAGAAGAAATGTATATCTGAGACAAATAACGTATTTAACAGATACAATAAGTGCTCTGTAAGAGATCTATCGAGAGTTCAGCTTTATGCTTCAGACTATTAAACTACAGATTAGATGTTAAATGATTTTCAAATCTATACTACATAGGTTACTATACGTTAAAACTCTTCAGCTCCAAATACTAACCTATGTAGACTGATTAGCGGTTGACTTATGCCCGACTCAAATATCTAGATTAGACTTAGTTACAAATCTACTTATTTAATCGAAATTATCCTAATTTGTCGTTATAAAACTTAGATTGGTGGTTAGGTCCTTAATGCCTGTTTTCATCAAACTCTTATAAATGTTAAGGAACCCCTAAGCTAAGATAGGTGGCATTTAACGTTATTTCCGTATCAATAACCTGTAAGGGACACTTAACGGTACAAGTAAGGGGTTAGTTTAAGTGCTAAGTCACACTAAGTAACGTTTAGTTATGAAATGGTTTAAGTCTTTCAGTCTTAGTGGTTACTGTAGCTAACCATCTTTTCCTAGAAATAATTATTTCAAAGTAAGCTTAAAAATATTTGCTTTGGTTTGTAAGCATTCAGTACAATTAAATAAAATATATTCGTAACCAGTTAAATGTGTAACTGAAACCGTTAAGGGTGGTGAAAACAGCCATAAGTTTATTTTATATTGTTATCAATAAGGCAGTTTTAGGATACACTTTTTTCTTTTAGTATCCAGACTACATTCGGTTAATTCCTAGATTAAGCACTTTTTCGTGTCCGAGTAAATCCTATGACGCTATTACTAAGTCTTCCTTTTACGGGAAATGAAATAACGAATTCTGTTTCACTGTCCACGGTTTTGATGTTAGCGCTTTTTTCATCTGTAATTTAGGTAGAAGCTCAACTATGCTGACAACGAAGCTGTAGTTTATTTAGTTCGAAATTACCTAAACACCTACTTCTTTTTTTATTATTCATAATTTTCTCTTAATGTTATTATTAGTAGAGATCCAAAGTTCCTGACTTCCCAAAAAAGGCAGAGTTTTTTTTCTCGATTATAGTTTTTTTTTTGCTTTCGTCTCTTTCATTCTCTAGACTAAAAATTTACAAAACCGTATCAAAGCATAACGCACGGAAGCTTTGTGAGTAAATTACAATATTTGTTAAGATATCG